CCGTATAGAAATGCATAATGTAATGATGTATTCTCTTCTCACGTTTCTTCTATTCACAAAACATAATTGCTCGACAAAATGTTATACAGTGATTATAATAAGATAGCAAAAGCAATACGATCTTTCTTCAGTTATATACTCATTACATTTTGCAACTTTCGCGAAACAAAAAATATATTTCGCACATATATAAATGTGATACTTGATTGTGATGTACGTACAGGAATCGAAATACAAAAGCCGTGTACCGGCGCGCCAGATAGGAAGCAACTAAGAGGATTAGTAGCCAAATGGCCGGGTGGCGGTAAACTGAAATAAATACAGTAGCATGCGCGAGGGTGCCGTAGATTAAATGTAATTATACGACGTTAAGTACTGCGTAATTACTGATGTCAGAGAAAAGAAAAAGATATTCAGCGAGCTCTGAATTTTGTCTTAGCTCTTATATTTTAAAGCGATTTCGACCTAAGCGTATTCTGCCTAAAACTGTGATCGGCCTAAAACTAAGATTCGGCTGCTTAAATTGCAAGAAATAGCGAAAAGGATACAAAATACGAGGGCGAGCCATTAAAAGTTGAAGACACGTTAGCGCCAAACTGTTTCGACATAATGGCTAAAGTTCCCACCTTCCCGTCCCGTTTTCGTCGTACCCCTTTATTATTTTATATTTCGCGGCATCGCGCGCGCCAGTTGGAGATAACAGAAATTATACCTACGTTTAAAAGTAGAACAACTGTTAGAGACGTCGCGAAACTTTTAATACTACGATGCCAGGCCGATTTCATCTTCGCGAGAATCCAGACCTTTCGCCTCCGAGTCTAATTCCCCGCAAGTCTGTGTACGTGTCTAACTTCCGATATGGTATGTAGACGGAGCTATGCAAACATTTTAACTTATGTACGTATGAGATATTCCGATTTAAATTCAATGTGAGATAGGGATGAAAAAATATTTCTTCAGATACTTTTAGAAACTGAAACTAAAATGATCCACTGAAATGGTCACCAAAAGAAATATTTGCTAAGAATGTCAAAATTTTTCTCATTATTTCTACACAAAATTTTGCCGGATACAGATCTGAAAATAATTTTGTTTTGTGTAAAAACTTAAATTAGTTATTCGAATATTAAAACTTTCTATTCCTATTATTTTTTAATTTCCAACATAATTATCTTAATGATTCAACAAAATTACTTTCAGAACTACATCTATCAAAATTTTAAATCTTTCAGTAAAATCTTCTCTATATATATAGTATTACTTCTTTCATAGAGTTTGAAGTAATCGTTAGATGGACGTGAAAATCGGACGCCATATTCCACAATTAAAAATGTAGCATTGTATGTGGTAGATCATAGACGTGAACGTTATCATCCCCCGGTGAGCGCTGAGGAAATCTAGGGGAGCGTTGTTAGTCTTAAGAGCAGCAGGGGGATGTTGAGGAGCAAGTGAACAAAAGAACACACGCCAAAGAAATTTAATCCTCTAAATATTTTCTAAACAAATACTTAAACATTCACTTGATTATATAAATACTACAGTTATGCATTTTTATAAGAATCAAATACATATGTCAATCAACCTTCCATACGTACCATATTGATTTATAAATTGTATGATATATGAGGTTTATTTTTCTATTATGTGCATTTTTTTCGGCTAACGTTTTCTTGTACAGAATGATCGATATGAAGTAAATGCATTTGTGCATGTTTTGTCAGATTTATTAATAGAGCGCAGATATTCGCGAAGGGGGCGGGGGGCGTTGAACACAAAAAATTTAGAAAGGAGGCGATGAGCCAAAAAAAATAACTGTATATTACTCTCTACATTTCTTGGAGTGAAATTTCACTTCAAGAATGAAAATACTATTGAGTGGAAAAAGAGTGGAAATATTTGCATTATTGAATAAGAACAGCAGCTTTTCACTCTTCTTTTTTGAATGAGATTGCAATCTTTTGGAGTAAGATTCATTTCAAAAAAGAAGTAAGACTTCCTTTCTTTACTGGAGTAAATCTTATTCCAAAAGATGGAATTTTTACTTCAAAGAGAGAGAGAGAGAGAGAGAAAAGAGTGAAAATCTGTCACTCTTATTTAAGAATGCAAATATTTCCACTTTTTATTCAATAATAATGGTATTTTTATTTTTTTGGAGTGAGACTTCATTCCAAGAAATTTAGAGAGTAATACACAACTCGTAATGTGAAAGCGAATCCTTTTCTATGTCCGAGATAGTAATTGTTACAAAAGAATGTCACGGAATATCTACCATACACAATGTCATATTTTTAACTGTGGGACTTAAAATAAAAATTATTCACAGTTCAGCACCTTTGAAAGATTAATTCGCGGAAGGATCTTTCTTTTTTCCATTACGCGTAATATGTGAAAATTTTTCCAGAAAGATTTTCGCTTCACATTTAAATAAGGAATTCCTCCCCGTTTCACACGCCACTCACGAACCACCCCGGAAATATGGAGCTGCGCGTACAGATTATGGAGTATGAAATACGTGCATGGGTATGCTCTCAGATGGGTGCGAACATCAACGGGACCCGCACCGGGTGAGCACCGCGAGTAAGCGAGTAAATACGAAAAGCTCATGATATTCGCACGAGCGGACGAACAGGGTGTCGTGCATTAGCGAGGCGTTTCTTCGCATGCGTCATCTGGGTACGAGATGTACCTTGCAATTGCGGATTAGCGAAGACCGAACGTCCGCGCGGACGGACATATTACCGTGCGCATTTCTACCATCCCTCTACCATCCCTCTACCATCGCGGCCGACTTGTTACAAGCACGTACAAGCGCGTTTCCTCGAGCGTCCGGCAAACACGCACGGCACGTACGTAACGCGCAATCCGCCCGCTACACGCACGTATAACCGTATATAATATAGTGGATCCGCAGCGTCCGTAATGTAATCACGGGTGACACAATTAATCACTGGACCATCCAACCCCGCTAGGCCATTAGCGATTGCGACACATTCAGGGCTCCCGTTGATAGGCGGATGCGTTTCGCATACTCGTGCATACGAACCGCACGCGTGCACGCGTGCACGCGTGCACGCATACGCGCGCAAGCGAAAGGATCGAAAAGTACGCAAGGGAGAGAGAGATCGGCGCTCGTTAGGATCTTTCCCCTTTCCCCCTTGTCACCGATTTTCCACGCGGCTCATGCGCGTGATTAATTGGTGCCATTGTATATCGCTAGATTATTATAGGGTATAGTAGTGGATCTCATCGATCTGCACCCTACGATTGATTGATTTCGATGTCGTAAAATCTATTTCATAGGCGCATCAACTAACTGCGAGTTCGATATGTACTAACGAGGCACAGATCTCGTCCACTTTAATTAGAAGCCACTTGCTTTCGTCATTCGAGATTTACAAAACTCACGAAGATGGATGTATCAATATTTAAAAAAAGATATCTTACTTTCTATTATATATATATGTATATAATATATTGTGTGTGTGTGTGTGTGTGTGTGTGTGTGTGTATATATATATAGAGAGAGAGAGAGAAATATATATAGAATATATAATAAATACACAAAAATATATAGAGTAATATACGTAGAATAGTATTCACATAACGTTTCTTGGAATAGAGAGTTTAATATATAGTGATTAATGCATTATATGTGCATGTTGATTTTTAAAAAAGATAAAAACTAAAAGTCTTTTTAATTACAAGCAACATCAAGATAGCTTTTGCAGCAAAACCATCATGATATTAATTAAAAATTCACAACTGTGTTTCACTATATTACATCTTTGTTTAAATTTTACGTAACACATATATATTTGTGCCTAATCAAAAACTTAATTAAAAATTTATAATATAGTAGAACACAGATATATACTGTGTATTTTTAATTATAGTTAAAAACTGTAGAATGTTTTTGTATGAAATTTCTAGAGGCATCAAATATATTTATCGACATAAAATACAATTCAACAATTTTGTAATACTTGTAAAATTTTCATATCGATTTTCCATCACTCAATTCCTTCCTTTTAATAAGAGAGAAATACGTGTGTTACTTCGCGTTGTGTGTTACGCAATTTTGACGCAATATACGTAAAGCTATTCAAGCTTATAATTTATATATGAGGTACGCATTGCTATCAAATTGCGCTCACAGCCAGGAAACTAGGAACAGGATATGTGGTTTCGAAGAACAAGTATGACAATAGTATTGCAGATTGGAAATTGGAATGCCAATGAAATGTTAGTAAAAGGACGGTAAATGTTGATCAAAAAATAATTTCACAGTTTAAATACTTTATATAATATTGTATAAAATACGTAAAAAATCCTTTATTCATCTACAAATATCTCAATTTACTAAAAATAAATTTTTTTAAATTTCGACAATTTTCACTTTTAATTAAATATCCATCGAATTGCAGCACATGCGATTCTAATAAACGTGATATTCGAATGGATATACCACTTTGCGTTATATTTTTTACAAAATGGTAACGTGAAACCAACAAGGGAAACATGCAATTCACGCGTGACTATAAAGTCAAATTATATATATGATCACTAATTGCCGCAATTTAAAACTTTTGTTAACTCGCGCACATAACGTGATAACTTATTACTCATAGATCACATAATAGTTTGCAAATTAACATGTAACTGAATTTTATCTAATTGTGAGTTAAACTTCGAAAATATGAATTATTGAATGATTAACTCTAACAATATTAAAATACACATTAAATTTATTGTATAAATTGCAAAAGAAACCTATTATTTTCGCAACATTGTATCGTCTACCTTGAAAGGTAAAAATCTCCCAATGACAATACTAAATAATTTTAAAAATAAATCTGGTACTTTGAAAATGAAAATTCAGCAAAGAGCAACCTTTTCTCATAAAAATATTACAATTATAATAATATTTCGAAAACTTTGATTCACCCAGAACTATGATGCAATGAAACAAATAATGTTATAATCATTATTTGAAACTGACGTATACTTTACAAAAAAATATTTTATTTTCTCATGTCGCATCTAAAATGTAGCAGTTTGAAGTATAAAATATTTCATGTACATGAAAAAAGTTTACAATATTCAGATGACTTATCCTAGATTTTCAATATTGGAAATTCGTACCTTCTATCCACCGTGCAACGTCGAGATGAAGAGCACTTTGTCCCGCGGGCATAGTTTATAATCGCCTTCACCCTGAAATTATATCTTCTTATATCTCTATACTTCTTATATCTTTTTGATCAATCGAATGATACGAAATATATAACTAAAACATGACAAAAAATAATAAGCTTAAGGAAATATTTTAATTTACATATATCAATATCTATATATTCTTTAAGAAATTAAAAGTCGATTTTCAATCAAAAGTTAATTGTGTGCTATTTCTTCGTATAATTTTTTACCACAAAAGTTTTAAGTAAATACTTGAAACAAATAATTCAAGCAATAATTTTCACTTTACTTTAAATTGTACTTTATTATAATTTTATTTTATTTTTAAATTTCAAACTTCAATCAAAAAACTTTATTATATCTTTTTAATAGAGTTTATTTGAAATTAAAATTTTATTATTTGCATCTTAAGAGTCTGAGTTATAAAAACCCTTATGGATCTTCAGTCATTTATTTAAATAATAGTTCCGGCTTGATGTTTTAAAATCAAGGAAAAGAGTTGATTAAGAAATCCATGATATAGATGAAAATTCAATGAATGCCCTATACACCTTAAATGAAGATAGATTGACTTTACCAAGATTTCATCTTTAACTCTGAATTTCATGCCTTTCAACATCCTTTAACTATCGAGATAGCAAAGATATCCATTACATAGATATGTAAGATTCGAAAAAGTTAGATTTTCACGAGCGCAACTGTATTATGGAAAAAGAGGGACGCGAGTAGGAAAAGAAACGGGTGAAAAGCAGATGACATGTATACTGTGTGTGTGTACACACACACACACACATGTATGTGCCTTGAGAAGAGAAGCGAGCCGAGCGAAAAGACGCGGAAACGCAAAAGCCGAAGCTGCGCGGAGAAGCTTCGCCAAGAAGCGACGGTATTATCATAATAATGGCCAGAGCCATCATCTTTTCCCTCGTTCCGACGCTCCCCGACGCTGCAGCATCTTCCCGTTCGAACGTTACCCCGGCTAGAGAATCGCGTCTTTCCTCCTAATAGCCGCGGCGTGTACATTTACAAATTTAAAATGATAATTCTCTCCGTGGGTGTGGCAAACCGAGGTCATTTGCGCCCTTTCAGCGTCCGGAGTCGCTCCGTTATCCTGCACCCTATCTAACGCGCAAGTAGCGATGGCGATGGTAGCCGAGACAGACCGATTATGCCGTTTGTAAAAACCGGTCACGGGGTATCCCGTTTGTCAGACGCCAGAAACAGCCGTGCGTCACTGTGGGAGTTGGCGACGTGGGAAAAGAAATATCTTGCGACGAGGAGTATCATCCGCCTCCGCAGCATTTCTCTGTGCGTTTAAGATTAATATTTTAAATAATCACTCAGTAACTTTTCGGCTTTCGCAAATCGTTCGCAAGCTCTTCATTTTATTAATCCTAAAATACACAAACATGACTTTTAATATGTTCCTTTCCACGTGAAATGTTCGTATATCTCGTTCAAACTACTTGGTATTTATTGTAGATAGTTATACGTATATTATGTATAGTACAGTTGTTGTATCATGGAAATATTGTTATTTAATAATAATAAAACTGCAGTTTTATAAATATTATATGTTATAAATAAAACTATTAATATCTCTCGACAGCGAGAAGTGTATATAACAGAAAGTTATCGAAAAACAATTCGGTAGAAAACAAGTTTAAATAAAATCTTATGATTTTTATTCATAATTTACTTTTCTTCTATCTTCAGCCCAATCTTACATTAATTCAAAAATATTTTGAATTGTTCTTTTCTGATTATGATTCTTTCTGCAATTCTTCACTAGGAAATGTATTCTAAACTTATTGCAAGCAAAGGAAAAAAGATTTCGAAATAGATACAAAAAATTATATACGGAATATACAATATATAAATATTGAAATAGCTAAATCAGATAAAGAACTTGTATGAAATTCTTGAAAAAATTTAAACAATTATTGCGCAAAGAAAGTAGTCACTTTTATTGAATATTTAAATATGTCTCTCTACTAATAAATTTTTATTAATTTTAAGAAAAGAGAATATAAATCCAGTCTTCAAAGAATTCAGTTGCCGAACACGGTGCATTAACTTCTCATATCAGTGTGACGACTTAAGAATCACGTAGCTAAGTAATCCATTCAATCCTTTTCGAATTTAAATCCGTCTGCCATTCTCGTTATGCATTTAAATCTATATTTAAAAGATTTTCTTTAAAATGAAGTTTTAATAATTTGAATATATTTTTAAGACGTACATAAAAAATTTATCTTGAAAGAAAATGTAGTGAAAAAGTAGAAAAGCAAAAATCAAATATATGAATTTAATTTTATAAATCTTTTAAATGTTCAAATCAGATTTTAAAATGTTAGTTACCACTAAAAAATATAATAGATAAATAATTTTAAATTTATTATACACTATTTTTTTATTTTGCAATCTTGATATTTTACAATTTTTCATGAATTAGCATAAGTAACGCGAAATTTAATGACTTTATAAAAAGTTCAACTTTGATTTCACTAGTAAAAAATGGCATTAGCTCAAAATTTAATTAAAGATATACTAAACACAAATAGTGTTCTTCGATTTTTTTTTCCAAAAGCAATAAAACAATCGTTAATTTTAATAATTATTTAGAATATCTCTCCCTCCCTCCTTTTCCCCCAACCTCAAATCTTAATAAAAATACACTTATTCGACGTGTTTTCACTCAAAACAAAAGAATCTGACAAAAAAATGCGGCGATCGGCCTCGTGAATCGAGTTATTAAGCGTTAAAGTTGAAGACTTTACAGATTGAGATATGTATCACACATTTAATGCTTTAAAAAAACAAATTTACTACTTTAAAACACGAATTCACTGCTAATGCAAAGAATTTGTGTGCTTAAGACAGTGAATTTTTGTATGTAAAGCAGTGAATTTGTTTTTAAAGCAGTAAATGTATTTTTAAAGCAATTTTAAAGTAGTGAATTTGTATATTAATTAATACAGAACGTATACATAGAGCTGTATCGAATCGGAATGACAAATATCTTAACCTCTAAAGTCTTCAACTTTAACGCTTAATAACTCGATTCATGATCGCCCCCTTTTTTTTTGCTAGATTCTTTTCTTTTGCTAGAGTGAAAACACATCGAATAAGTTTTTATTAAGATTTGAAGTGAGGGGGAGGAGGTATTATTCTAAATAATTACCTCCAAATTAGCCGAGATGTAGTCGTAGGATGAATCTTGAAAAACTTGTATACTTGATAAAGTATTTTAGTCAAAAGAACTTACGGTCATCACAATGTATTGGCATAATTCTATCATAAAAATTGTTCCAATATATAATATGATATCCGAGAAGTACATTGCACATAGATATACGTGTAAATGAAATACAGTAAATAGAACAGACACCATGTCCAAAAACTCACCAGTAATTCCCAGTCGGCATCGTTAACCAGAACTAAGATGCCCGGTCTCCTAGAGAAACAAGATAAACTTTTTAAATCTAGTTGCTCGTTCCGCTGCTGCCAGCGTATTGTGTTGTGTTGTGTGTCGAAAACTTACAGATACCGCACCCTCCATCAATTACGGGAAGTTGGAGGTACAAGGGCGAAACAAACGCGAAACAAATGCGAAACGAGCGCGAAACGAACATGAAACAATGAGCGAACGAAACCCCGCCGCGATCAGCCCCGATCATTCACTGCGAAAAACTGTCACTCGCAAAAACGAAAATTTCAAAATGGATGTCCCGCCAATATCGTTCAACCGATTGGCTGATACCATTCGAATCGTTGAGCCTATAGAATTGGCCTATAGAATCGACACGACCGCGACTTTCGCAGCCAACTTCACTATGCTCGCATCACGTAGACGCGTACCGTACATACGCCATTTCATCGTTTGATCTCGAATTCGCGATTTTCAATATTTTCTTTTCCTTTTTCCTTCGAGTGAAATGTAAAAAAAGAAAGAACAAACTAAAATTGAGAGAAATGTGAAATATACACCGATCTATCAGTTCTCGTAAAAATTATCGAGAGATAACATCTCTCAAATCCAATCATTGTACAAATCATTATTATTATGTCACGAAAGTGAGCACTACACTAATCAACGACGCGAAAAGCGGTTATCTTAACATGCGATATTTAATCTGATAAATCATAAATTTCCGACATATTTGCCTAATTATAATTTTCAACGGTGACGAGAAGTCGATTCTTTCTCTCCGATTATCTGACTTATCAACATCGATATGTAATGTAAAATAAAATATGCCAAAACATAACAAGTTAAATTGATAATGAGAATGATAACCGAATTCAAAATCACGTTACTGTACCGTACATTTTTTACCATACAATTTTCAATCGACTACAAAAGACGCAATTACTCAAGAAATCGATTCATACACGACAATTCCGCGGTTTTTTGTCACTAGATGTGTGTTGATAGTCATATATCTAGTGACAAAGTACCGTATACTTTTTAGATGACCCAATATTTATAAAGGCTCGTATTCAGAACGCACTTTTATCGTTAATACGGGCCATAATTTTTTGCGTTCAATGTCTAGTCTAATTTGCTAGTCGAAATACAACAATTGCACTCTTCGCGACAAGATACGTCATATCATGATGTAAGGAAATACCGGAATTAAACTACGGAATACGCATTGAAGATTGAAAGATTGAAATTTGACCAATCAAAACAATAAAAGCTAAAATTCCGTTTTCCTCATTGTTAAATTTCAATCTTCAATGCGTAATCTGTTTCCGGCCTAAGAAGATATATGTAGATGGTATAAATTTAGGGTCGATATTCATAATTCGATCTTATATTTAAAAACGTTTTACTTGCAGTTTTAAGATGTCATAAGTCAATCACAGAGTAGCATCTTAAGACAATAGGCCTGTTCGACTTGCTTACACTTTTTACACTCAGCATCTTCGCTTTTTCTCTTTCCAGCGCCAAATATATATCTATTTCATTTTAAGTGTAAAAAGTGTAAGCATGTCGAACAGATTCATTATTTAAAACGATTTTGAAATAAGAACCAATTATAAATATCAGTCTAGATTACGGTGTAAGGCTAATATTTTGTATGTGATACACCCAAGAACTTGGATTCTTTCCCTCGAAAATTTTCACAAATTGAGAAATGACACTTTTCTATAGCATGAGTGTACATACAATAAGGCTTTTTTATGGGTGCATTTAGAACGATAACCGCTCACAATTAAGCGCATAATGAGCTTCTTCTGATTGATATATGCCATTATATCCTAAAATATAGACCAGATAAAAGAGCTCACTGAGTGCTTAATGAGTGGTTGTCGTTCTGAGTGCAATGTTAATTGATTCATAACATCTTAAGACTGTACTTAATATAGTCCTAAATATAAGAATTGACTATGAATACCGACCCTAAATCACTTTCTACAATTTTTAAACTCTAAACCGTAAAAATTGATCAATTACAGTTAAATGAGAGGAGAATAATTGACTATGGCCGGTAGTCAGATCTTATATTCAAGGCCGTCTTAAGTACAGTCTTAAGAAATCACGAACCAATCAGAGGGCCATATTAGCGTCTTAAGACATTACTTAAGACAATCTTGAAATAAGATCGGACTATGAATTCATCCATTTCGTAAGATGCGTAAGCCTGAATCTACAATAAGTTTTTAAGCCCTTAGAAAATGGACGAATCAGTCGATTATCCTTCTATTCTTCTTGCATTCAACTGTAATTGGTTTAAATGTTTGGTGTTAAATTTTACAGCTTAAGGCTTAAAACTATTGTAGATCCGGACTAATGCAAAAATTTGTGTTACGGTCTAAGATGGGGTCTCATGAGATGTATTTGCCGCATAAAGCTGAAAACACAATAAGCACAGGCAATAGTAGAATAAGTACAGGAAACAGGAAATAACTAGCCATTCAATCAAAGCTTTGGAGTATAAATTCAATATTATATTCCAGAGTTCTGATTGAATGGCTCGTTATTTCCTATTTCTTGTTCCTATTGCCTGTACCTATTGTGTTTTCAGTTTTACGCGTAACCGCGTAACCAATCGGTAATCAACAAAACTACAATAGCGCATCGCTTCTGATTAATTACACGATTACACGATACGCGTCAAATATACCTCATGAGACCAAAAGTATATTCACACAACTTGCACAACCGCATAAAGAAAATTATCCAATCACATTATACATGCGACTTTAAAAGAGAAATGCAATTGAATAATTTGGTTTATGCATATGTTTATATAGCTATGCAAGTTTGTGTGGATATATCCTAAAGCCTGGATCCTCATAAAGACTACAGCGCTTTGACATCGAGTGATTAAAAAAAGCCGGTTGTGGGAATAAAATTTACTCCCATCATCCGTTGTTCACCAATCAACGTTCAGTGTGAAAGAATCGTTGTCCATAGGTCTATTCTATTTTAGCTAAAGTTCTTGCACAGTTTATCTTCCTTTTCTTTCTATATCGAAGAGAAAAAGAGAAAAGATGAATCGTATAAAAAGTTGAGCTAAAAAGAAACAGGCCTCTTATGAGACAAACTCATCTGGACAAACTTGTATGTACACTAGAAACCCTCAAGTAAGAGTGTGGCCAACTCTCAACTACATTCTGATAGGATAATTTTGAATCAGACAAACATGGCGGAACTTGTTATGGAAAATCCTTTGTTACTTTAAATTATATATACAATCGAGCACACAACAATTAAGCCGGTTCTACATTAGTTGCAAGCCGATTGCAAATTTATTGCGACAGCCAATATGAAGCGTTGATTTTAAAATGCAAGCTTCAGATTGGTTGTCGCAACAAACTAATGTAGAAACCGGCTTTAGGCATTTTTTTTGTTACCAATAAATTCTTTTAAAACATCTTGCCTAATGATGAGATTTTTTGCTATGGGTAATAGCACGTAACCATAATAGCGAGTAATACCTTAGTACGTGACCTTATTTACATACAATATGTACTCTGCCAAATATACAGAGCTAATGTTGCCGCCATTCATAATATTGGGTCATCTAAAAAGTATCCGCGGTATTTTGTCACTAGATATATGACCATCAACACACATCTAGTGACAAAAAACCGCGGATACTTTTTAGATGACCCATATGTATACTCTCTGCAATATAAAGCAAAGTATTTTCGCCATATTTGTCCCGTGACCAGACTCTTAACTTGAAGGTCTCTATTCTACACCGGAATGCATCCGAAGATACAGATACTGACATCTGTGCATTGTGCTTGCGACCGGCGCGGTATGCGCCATGCGTCAGTACAATGTATATATACGTAGTGTATGCGGCCATTTTCATTAAAGATGTCGGTCGTCGCCGTTGTCGGTCGATCCCATTCATTTGCGGACTGTGCGGATTCACTGATGTGACACGTCTATATACAAAGTAAATCTGCAGTGCGATTAACACGGCGCAATACTGCGGATATCGCGTTATTAGAATTCTTTAAAGCTCTTTTGTTTCGCGGTCGCAAACAAACATCGAAGGGGTGTATGACTGTACGTAGGATCAAGGTTTCACTTACACCGTGTCGCCCTGCATAAAGAGCTCGGGCCGTTCTGTCAAGAGGTTATCCCGCAGCCAGCTTAGCAGTCGTTTCAGCGTCCCTACAGAATCGATTGGTTATTATTAACAAAAGAGACAAACTAATACACGGACACGAGCTAATACTTACGAGGATACTTACATTCCTCACCGGGTAAGTCCACCTCGTGCCGCTTCTTTCCATCAAATAGCAACTCTGCTCCACCTCTGCGAACATTCGACAAACGGCGTGATTTGTTCTTGATCGTCGCGTCGCATGACTGATATGAAATTTCAATTTTCTCGATCTTACCCGAATTCGATAGTAAGAGGAAGTCCAATCGCAGACATCGTGAATTGTGAAACGAGAGTTCAAAGAACGTTTCTCTCCTTCTCTACGTTAGGTTAGAATTGGATTATCGTGCAATCCAAAACTTTCGCGAACGTTCAGCAATGATCACTGTGGAATACCAGGTTAGGTTTGTCGAAAAAAGAGAAAGAAAAAAAGGCACGCTAATGAATTTTCGTTCGTACGCGTCAAAGGCCGGGATCGATTTGTCGTAATAAAATAAATTAACTGGAGCTCTCTCGCTTTGTGTATGTTATATATATATATATGATACGTGAGATTGATGCGATTCCTTACGACTCGTACAGACTATAGAGCGCGCATGCGCGTGAGTGGCATTAACCTCGGCATTTACACTTTACAGCGAGCGGTGTCAGCGGTGCGTTTGTTGCACATACACAGTGCGAGGACTAGTAAGGAGAGCAAAGAGTGCTTGCTGTTGATCTAAGTGAAATGATCTAAACCGTAATTTCGATCGATTGACACACTCTGCACGAATCAAACTTTCAATTATTATCACGCGATCGCGGGTGAAAAGAGGGATAGCTGGCAGACCAGCTCGATTATCTCCACGACATATGTACGTTATATAGTCCTGCAACGTGCAGGTCATTAATCTTGCTTGTGGTATCGGTACCGAGGGAAAGAATTAAGTGAGAGTGCGTCTTAACGGCCGATTGTCGCATCACGTTAGCGTATTATCAAATGAGAACGTGAATTATTTGCGACATCACGTAAAGAGTAAACGATGCGGCACGACGATATTACGAGATATCGTCCAAAGTGCGGCCTGTAATGGCGGCTGATGAAAAAGTGTTTTCCATTGCGCGCCACGTATGTTCGCCGAGCCGGCAAACGTCTGAAAATAATCGGAAATAATTCGGACAACCGATTAATCCTATCGTTTTCACTCTTCGATTGTTAGATCCCATCAGTCGATAATAATCCGCGATTCCTTCTCGCCTATAGTTTTCCACGATGTCGGAGAATAGCGAGCACTCGCCTGACGACACCGAGACGGAGACAAAGGCGATGGAAGATCTTCCTAACGATTCATCCAAGAGCGAAACGAAATTAATGAATCAGGCCGACACGGCTCTGCTCGAGGATGAGGAAATGCCGACGTACATCAGTGTATCTAGTATCACAAGACCAGATGACTCGGATATTGTTAATGTGAAGCAACGTGAAAATGAGTCTCGAGAGATGGAAGGGGATCGTAGCCCGAGTCCCTATCCCAGCGATGATCAAGCAGCGAGTAGTGTGTATGTTTTATCATCTGGAGAAGAAACCGATCAACATCCTTATAATGATGAAGATGACGAAGATGAATATGGAGATAGTGACGGTAAATTAATAGTAGAGACTTGTGCTTGATTTAGACTATGATCTTTGATCTTAATCCTAAACCCATAAAAATTCAGCCAATGGAATACAGATTTTAATTACGATCAATTTCAGTTAAGACTGGCAGTCCTATTGGCTGAATTTGAGGGTTTTAGGGTTAAGGCCGAAGCATAAATCAAGCATTATAGATGATAAGAGAATAGAATTTGGCTTAGTACATATTCAACTCGAGTAATAGTCAATGTCTTTGTACTTATAATATTGATATAACTGTACATTTTTTTAGTATGTAGCTTTCATTATGTTACAGATATGGAAAATTTAGAGCTCGATAATGATTTTGATTCGGATCATCCAAGTAATATGAAACATTTAATGGACGACGAGGATGATGATGATGAAGATGACGAAGATGAAGAAGATGATGAGGACAGTCCTAGACAAATGAATGATGATGGTATCGATGATAATTACGAGACAGATTATTATGATGGAAGATCTGATGATTTTATCTTCAATAGGAGATTAAAAAATCGTCACAAAGAAAAGAGCCTTTCTCTTCAAGATTTGAAAATGTACAAGAATAATATGAATGATGGATATTTTAAAAGAAGACACACACAAGATTTAAGACCAAATTATCCAAACATTCCAGAAGAAGCTATTGTGTATTCTATGATTCAGAGAAAGCAACCGATACCAGGAAAATATCATTATGTACAAAGCAAAGTTAAACGCTATATCAAAGATATAAAAGACCAAAATAGACGTTCCATGGAAAAACATGTAAAACAACATCAGGAAGATACAACCCATTATAAAAGCAACAGCGATCATAAAAACAATGACGCAGAAAAAACGCCTATAGTGACTAACAAGACAATAAAAGATTATGCCGAAAGGACGATCAAGGAGTTGGAAATCGCAGAGACATGCGAGAATAGCATGGATAAAGTGGCCTACAATACTATTACTACGCCAATAATATTGAATGGACAAGAAAATAAAAATTGTTTAGAGTCAATACATGAGGAATCCATACAGACTCAAGTTCAAATAGATATACCATTCGAGTCAACACAAAATGAAAGAGATCTTGCGAATACAGATAGTAAAATGCAAAAACAAAATGGAACAATTGAAGATAAATCATTAAAATTCAATTATATTGATAAAGAAATCCCAAATTTTTCATCTCTCACTCAAAATGGTCATCAAGAAATACCAACGGTATTTTACGATTTGCGAACTTTAAGTTATGACGAGTATATGCATGGCACTTCTAATTCTAGTCAAAAAACTGATTTAAATAAAAATGCCCATGTTATTGAATCAGAACATATTCAATCTGAGGTATTTAATAATTCAGATCTAATGGAAGTATCCACAGATGGAGAAGAAGATACTTGTTCTTTAAGAATTGAGAATATAAAAAGTATTAAGACAATGTCAGATGAAACAAAACATAATAAGCAAATAACTTTTGAGAAAACAAATGAAGAATTTAAGACGACTTCGGATACTTCAGAAGTTACCACATTGAAAAAGAAATTAACGCAGAAGACTGTAAAATATAACAGTCTGCTTGATACATATCAAAAGCAGCTTATGGAAAATTTAAAAATGAAACAGGAATTGGATGAACTGAGAAAAACATTAGCAAAATATGAAAAAGAAAACAAACCTCCGGAACAGAAGGTTGCATCAGTTCAAACAGACGTTTCTATTGATTCTGTATCTAATCAACCCCAAGATCAAACTGAGCCTACACATGTCAAACAATCCAATAATAAAATATCAGGTAGTAGTGTAGCTTCGCTAAGCTCTATAGATCAGTGGAGTTCCAGTGCTTGTAATTTATCAGTATCCATTAAACCACCTGAAATAACAAAAACATTACAGTCTGACGATAGTATAGTACTGACTGACGGTACACCAAGAAAAACACGTTCATTATCACGCGCATTTATTACTTCCTCCCGAATCTTGCAAACTCTTTCAAGTATTACACAGGGAAAAACAAAGCTAGAAAGTCCATTGGTACAAAATTCAAAGAAAAGATTAAATGAAAATGTATCGATGGATCTGCAAAATGATGAAAGTAATTATCAATGTCTCCCTTCCAGCTCTAAGAAAAGAAGAATTACAGACATTCTTGAGCCATCTAATTTTCTACAATCTTTTAAAGTTTCCCAAACGTCTGTAGAATCACATTCAAAGTTAAATGAAATGCCTTCAGAATCCCAATTTAAAAACTCGTGTGATTCGATAAATAAGAATGTAGATTTGCAATCAAGTTTACCTAATGCTAATACAAGTCAATTAGGAGCTGCTACATCTATGGTAGAGAGCAAGACAGAAACCGCTGATGATCCAGATGATAATGTAAAGTGCTTTGTATATCGCGAGGATGAAAATAGTAAAGATCGCAGTTTTCTTATTCTAGCAGAGGAGCCTGAAAATGATAAGGCTATTAATGAAAAAGGACGCAGGCGAGAATGCGGTCCGTACTTACTTGGTAATGTAGAAGTAAGAATGTCTGAAATGAACGGAACAATCAACATTTGGGGTAAAGAGGTAAGTGATCTTATAAATTATAATTTATGAAGAAACTAATTTCAAGATTCCGTTCTCAAACTCAAACGTATTTTTCAGATTAGTCAAGAATCCATTGCTGAAACTGAAAATGATACAGAATCTACTAAAATGAAAGACAAAAATCATCATTATTGGCAAAAGACACCAAATACCAGATTCAATGGCAGTAATTTAGTATGTTCAACAAGTAAAAAATCAAAAAGTCCTCCTAAATTTGAACTATCCTCAGCAGCATCTAATTTTTCTTGTCTGCATTCACCTTCGTTTAACATAGCAAAAGCATCTTGTTCTACAGATAAAGCAGATAAATTATGTAGTTCAAATGCATGCGAAGACTGTGATTTCTCAAAATATCGTAAAGAATGGCTAAGATATACTGCTGCACTCATGATATAGACACGTCAGAGAAGAAGTGCAATTGTTCCTTACATAACGAAAAGCAAAAGTTCGAAGATAGTTTTATTTATAGCAAAGAAAAGTTAAGCACCCAAGAACATCGACAAAGTTTTTCAAGAAACCTAGAGCCTAACAAGCATTTACATGAAAATATTGCCTCAGAAGGCAACGAGTACATTTGTAAAAATTGTACGACGTGTCATCATTCACCGCACAATCCAGAGAATTGTCAAGAAAATCACAAATGTTGTACCATGTTAAAAGAAACCTGTGAGCCACTAATGATGAATATAGATCGGGAATGTAACGAATCATGTAGTCACTCACCTCCTAATATACATGAAGAAGAGCCGTTAATAAAGCTGAAACAATGTAGTGAAAGACCAGAGGTGAGTTTACGCCATGTACGAATAATTTTATGAATATAACAAAAATTTGTATGATTATAACTGTATGTGCGACTCGTAATTATTTTCTCTTTAGGCGAGACGACGAAAAATAATTGGGAAAAGGGTACGAGGAATTTTAATGGACCTCGTACGAGGGTGTGGAGATTGTTATAATTCTAATCCTAATGTATCCGGTAATAACAAAAGCTGTACACACGAGAAGGAATCTTATTTAAGAAGTTGTTCTCCACAAATCAAAATTTCGCCGTGCGCATCTCCAGAACCATTGTGTTCAAATGTAGGACAACCTGGAAGGTGTGCTTTCAAATATTTCTTAAAACTTTTTTCATTATACATACAGTACTCCATAATTGTGATAGTAACTAGATGTAACATTATTTATGAAATTTATAATATCTTTTGTTAGTAAAAGTAAAAATCTCAAATTGTAAAACTAAATATCTGCTCCTTAGATTATATAACGTCAATCTTTTAATATCAAGATTGTTTTACTTACAGATGCTGCCATGCATACGCACAGCGAATTGAATCTCAACTGGAAGAATTTCGAATGGAAATGGAAAGGATGCGATCACGTTCGGATGCTATTCTTAACATGCTCAATATGCTTCATTCAGTGGATACAAACTAAAGAAATCCATCTCAATGTTAATTTTTTTCAAATGTACATACATCATATTTTTATTGTTTATTTTTTTCTCAGCCACTATGGAATTATCATAGTATCGTCCTTTATTGCTTATAAAAAAACTATAGTCGTTAAATAAAACATATATAATGAAAAAGATATGTTTACATCCAATATATCGCATATCTAATGATACATGCCATTTTTGTTAAAATTTCTAATAAGATAGCATTGTATCTATGCATTCACAATATATTTTCCATGTGAAGAATTTGTGTGAAATAGTATATGATAAATACTACAATTAAACCATGTGTTAAGAATAATGATACAAGTAATCGTCATACAGTAAATGTGCATAAGTCTTGATTTTATTTTTTTATGTTTCAAATGTGTTGTTTATAATTTCAAAATTTATAAAAAGGGTGACACGGTATAACAGTTATTTATCAATCAACTTTATCAATTGTATCAAAATGTCATTACTTAAAGTATAAACAAGGCTTGTGTGTGACATCGAGTAATATATTTTAATTTCGCTATATCGAACAAAAATATATAGGATTATTACTGAAAAATCATGTGCATTTAATAGTTGCAATCGCAAGAATCGTCTACTGGCAAAGCACTTGTCGGTGCTTCTCCTTGTCCGAGAAAGATATTGCTGTAAGAAGTCTTGAGATAGTTTACATGACCCTGTAATGATTTTATACGGCCTTGCGCATGTTTAAATGCCTCGTTTAAGTTATTTATTTGACTCTGCATCTTTTGTCTGATCTGCATAAGTTAATGAGAAACGTGTAAATACACTCCTGTGTAACACTATTAACATTTCTACATAGTATTTATAATTACCTCATCTCTGTCTCGTTGGGCGGCACGCGCTGTTGCTCTACACTGTGCCAATTGCCTTTCCATTTCGGCAATTTGGCCTTGCATCGATCTTCGCATAGTTTCACATCGCTCTTTTGTTCTTGCTACTTGTCTAGCGGAATCTTCCCTTATCTTAAACAGAAGGAGAAAATTCTAGTATTTGCGGATAACATTTTTTTTTATCGCTAAATCAACACATACCTGTTCCAACATTGATGACAATTGCGTGTTTTCGTGCATTTTCTCGTCAACACGTTTTTGCAACTGTGTTTCATGTTCCTCAAATCGTGCCAATGTGTTTTTCATTCTTTCGTTTTCGTGTCGCAACTCACCACACTTTTTTTCCATCTCTTCAGACTTGTCAGAACCAAGTCCCCTTTCATCCTATAAGTAATTAATTATTTTTAATTAATACAATGAAACTATTATGTTAAATTATGTAGCAAATTACAACCTGAAGTGTTTGATGCTCAGTGCGCAATACATCCAATTGATTTTGCAAAGTTTGAATCTTATCTTTGTATCCTAGCAATTCTCGCGACAGATCCTCACAGCTACGTTCAGCGACTAAGCGCATCTGTTGCGCTTCCTGCATCTTCATTTGCATTTGTTTCAAGATATCAGGCAACGGTGCAAGCTCGGCTAATTTTTCTTGAAATTGATTCTAATTGCATTGATTACATTTTATGTATATATATATATATATAATATATATATATTACACACAGAATGAGAATATCTTTACACAATCCGAACAAATTGCAATTATTATAGTATTTGATATACTTTAACACGTCCGATTTCCAAAGTAACATTCTCGTTCATTCGTGCATTGTCCATTTCCATGAGGTCTAGTTGTCTACGCTGTTCTTCAACTTGTTGCTGGGCCTAAGATTATATTGATTATATTGATTTTATTTTTATAATCGAAAAAATATCGAATATAATTTATTCAGATGATCGCAACGATAACAACTTGCAAATATTTATTGCGATAATCTTCCAATTGAGCAGCTTGATCTTGAATCAAGGAACGAAGTTCCTCTAATTCTTCTTGCGCTTCTCGAAAGCGTTGTTTCGCCACCATCAGAGCTTGTTCCTGTTCAATGAGATGTTCCTTATGACCTGTCTCGAAATTAATATGCTTTTTGTTACATACATTAAATTGAAGCTTTACATCGTAGTTGTTATTTCTATAGTGAATTACCTTCAAATTTTCCCTTTTCTGTTTCTAGAAATTTTAATCGTTCTTGAACGTCTATCAGTTTTATCTCCATTCGTTCCTTCTCTTCCTTTGCATCGCGCAAATCTTGTTTGAATTTCTCTGCTTCTGTCCTCATACACGATACCTCACACAACTTACTTTTATAATCATCTTGAAGCCGGGCGTATTGTTCACGAAGATCGCGTAATTGTTGAACGCAAGTACTAGTGCCCTTCGGTCATAAGTTATGTTATTATGATTGATCAAAGCATACAATTAAATTTGCTTATAGCCTTACCATGGTAGCGTTTGTACAAGAACCAGTGCACATTAGAGGTGCAGCCTGCGTAGTCTATATTTGATAAAAACTATATTACTCTTTACTCGCTAGTTATATTAGTTCTGTATAAATAGCAGAAATAAATAGCACGATTTAATTATGAAAGATAGGATATAAAAATTATAAAAATATATTAAAAAGAAGTATACACGTACAAACTCATATTGTTTAAGGTGAATATTATCTGAAAAATTTGGTTAAAATATAAACCGTACGAGTACCTGGGTGAGAGGCATCGCAGACATTGCAGATACTTTGGAAATTCCCATTAACGGAAGTCCTGACGTGGGTGTCATACATGTCGAAGTCGGAGGTGGGCAACAAGCGCACGGTGCATAAGATCCTGTGCATTTGAGCAATTTACGTTGCTGTTCCAATTGTTGTCGTTCCCGCTGCACATTTGCTAATTCCATCTGCATGTTACGTACCTCGGTCTCCATACTACCTAATTGTTGTTCCTGGAATAAAATTTGCCACTGACATTACATTCCATGGATTTCATCATTTAGTTTTTAAATAATTTTTCACAGAATATCAGATATAGAATTCATTATATATATTATATATGTTTTACCATTTCATATAATTAATGTATGAACAGTAAATAAAGGATTGATTAGTCTTAAAAAAAGAAATGTATGAAATATAAAAATTGTTATCTCTTCTTACTGTTTATATTTATCAAACTGTATGTGAGGAATGTAAAGATTACAGTTTAAAAAAAAATTTTTAATTATTTTTTACATTGTTTTCAATTTTTACTATTGTAGAAAGGATTGTGTTTATCTCAAACACATTTTAAAACTTACTAATTGTTTAGTACTACTGCCATATGTTTCCAATTCTGCAGGACATGTTCCCCGAGGAAGCAATTTAACGGCTGGACCTCGAGAACACATCTCTACGTTTTGCAAATCGTTGTTATCTGCGAAATAACGTTCCTCTGTTGGCGATCCACCTCCTGTAAGCCTCGGCGAATCTGCGAGATTAAATATTCTTTTTTTTTTTTATAGAACAATTTATCGCCTTTGCGAACTTTTCTTTTTAACAAATATGCAAAATATGTCGCTTCTATTACATTATTTTTTAATGGCTGAATTATCACATTCTGTCAAAATTATTCGTCTTACTGCATGCAGTTTCCGTAGTTGGTGATAAAGTGTCAGGGTATGGCGATCGCAAACAACATTTGCATCGGTAGTAAACGTCGTCTCGAGATTGCGCGCTGACATGCGGACGCGAAGATAACGTCGGTGACGTTGATGGCGAAGACGGAGTAACACCTGGGTACGTGTAACAGCAAGTAGGTCTAATCACTAGTTGATTTAAAGTAGCCAATTGGCGACTCAACTCCATATTTTCTTTGACAATTATACGCATTTCTGCTTGCAGACCGCATACCTTCTTCTGTAAACTTTCGAGAGCTGTATCTTTTTCTAGCAACGCTTCTTCTAGTTTGTACCTATTTTGCAGGACAACACACAGCTTTCAATACAATCTTCATTTTTTTCTCTTTATTTTAATATATCAGAGTATATAAAGTGAAACGAATATAAAAAGATTATTTAAAATTAAAATTAAGATGTTATAAAACTTTCGCGAACGAAACAATCATTAACGTGCACATTTCATTCATTGTTATGATATCAGTATATCATAACAAACTGGGTTACGTATATATAAGTGACGTATGATTGACATGCTTCAAATTGCTGAAAACATCGTGAAATCGTCACCGAGGGAACCGTTTAATTTTCAAGCATTTCATTTGATCGTCTATTATTTGTCATATAAATAAAGTAACTATCGAGTATTAAATTTTTTTGCATTATATCGAGTGTCCTGAAAAAATCAATTGATACATTTGTTTCTGTTTATCTTATTCAAACCTATAATTATTTTAACTTTAATTCAAAATATAGTAAGTTATAGTTTGTTTTCTTAAAAATAGACATCTGAAAAGCAAATCTAAATTTAACTCTTAATATAATTTATGCTATTTTATAATCACTTAAATGTACAGGTATAATATTAATCAGATATTCCTTGGAAAATTTTTATATATGTATGTAATTAGATGTAATTTTTATATTAAATATAATTCATTTATATATAATTCATTTATATATAGAATATAGATTTAGAATTTATTAATACAAAAGACAAGCGTACTTTCCACCTTCCAATTGCGCGTTTTCTTTGACCAATTTTTCCTGCATCGTTAAAGACTCTGTTAGCTTGCCAGTTAATTGTTCAAAACACTTTTCCCTTCCCTTCCGTTCAGTATCCGCTACTACGAGTTTTGGAAGCACGTCCGTGTAACCACAAAAAGAATATATAATAAATAATATCTTGATTGGCTAGCAGCATTTTGTATGAATAAAATATAACTTACTTATCTTCAGGATATTGTATTTGCGGTATCTCAAAGTAATCTTCTTCTAAAATTTTTTTGAATGGTTCTATGTCTCTTTTTTTTATCTCAATTTCTTTTTCCACTTTACGAAGCCGTTCTACTTCTTCTCGCGCCTGCAATATATTTATCGCATTATATTTTTAATAATTAGCAATATATTATTTTATTAATTTTATTTTATTGATACGCATTATTGCAGAATTTCAAGCTTATTGCAAAGATATGATTACATGTAAAATATAAGTAAGATTTTATAAGTAGAAATTTAAGTAGTATAATATGTATATAATATATCTTAATATATCTTAATATATCTTATATATATATATATATATATATATATATATATATAAAATATATCTTTTAAATATTTTTGTAATACGTATACTTTTTGAATTTCTTGCGTTAATTGTTCCAGTTCCGCTACTTTTGAAGTGAGAATGTTTTGTTTCTCTTGAAACGCTAGCTTATCTTCTTCTGTTAATTCAGGTTTCTGAGAAATATATTATTATAAATTATAATGATCACATTAATAAAGTTATATTAAATAATAATGAAACCTCTGATTACCTCTGACAATTCAAAAACTTCATGTTTTAATTGTTTGACTTCATCTGTTAGCAGAATAAATCTCTCATTCATTATTTTTACTTCTATGATTATATCATCAGTTTTAATAGGTTCGCTTATTGTTGGTTTTACAAATTCCTCAGATTTTGTCACTTCATCTACACTTTTAAAATTTACACTTGTAATAATTTGAAAATAAAAGAGTGAAAGAAAGAGAGAAAGAGAAAGAAAAAAGAAATGGTCACAATTAGATGTTATTAATTTATATCATTTGTGTTATTTAATTTTAAATAATTGAAATATATCTTCCATCAAATAAAATATAAAACAGAGATTTTTCTAATAAATTATTTCTATCTTTAATATTTTTTTTATTGTCATGTTATTTTTACCATTGTATTCAATTTCGTCATCAGCTTTATCTTCTTTGATCTCATCAATTTTAATTCCTTCTTCGATCTCATCAATTTTATCTTCATCAGTTTTATTTTGCTCAACTTCGTCTTTGTCATTAGTATTATCTTCTGTAATTTCATTTCTATCTTTATCCTTAGCTTCGTCTTCTCGCTCATCTTCATCAATATTCTTTTTTTCAGTTTCAATTTGTTGTTCCTTAAGATCTTCTATCGCTGCAGATTCTTCGTCTACGATAGTATCTTCAACTCTTGCTTCTTTTTCTTCCTCTTCTTCTACCTCATTGTCCGGTATGTTGTTTTCAGCCATATTTCTACATACGCATGTTATTACATTTTATGATGTTACTGGATATAACATATAAAAATACTACGCAAAAACAAAGAAATGATTACACTGAGCGATTTTGTTGATAGTGAATCAAATCATTTAATTGCAATTCCACGGAATTTGAGACTTCTAATAGGAATTCGTTTTCTATGTTTTTCTTTATTTGATTATTTGTATTTTGTTTAACTTTTACTCTGTCATGTTTTTCATACTGAAAAAATTATCAGTTTTATCATGAAAGTATGAAAGTGTAAATATATAAAAATTATAAAAAATCATAAATTATTTCAGCCTTTTGTTACTCTTATTTTTTAATGATTTTGAGCAATAGAAAATTAATTCTTGTTACTCAAGTATATAAGAACGAATAAGCAATCGAATAATTGAAGAATGAAATAATGAAACGATAGAATATTAGGATGTAATAGCATAATTACCGCTTTGAAAACAAACGGCTCAAGATTTGTCTGTGACGAAAAGGATTGCAGAAATAATGCTTTTACGAATGGTTCTGATTTTGTAGCGTTGGATGTTTTGATTAATTTTTGCTTATGATAATGGAATGCAAAAGGAAATGCATCACTCAAATTCAATGGTTTCTTCAAGTTAAAAAGAGATTCCAATGAACCGAACGCGTCTTTTTTTAGACACGACGTATTATCACAATGTTCATCGTTTCGCTGAAGCTTAGAATAGCTTTGTTTTAAACTTCGTCCTTTTGAATTATGAATGCTCTTTGCTTTGGTCGGAAAACGTTCATGCGTATGAGAATAGTTTTGCAGAGAATTTTTTGCACGCGGCCGTCGTTTCTGCATAATAGAAACAACTTTTATTATACATAAACATTTTTAAAATATTTTATTTTACAATATTTACAATCTTTTGTATCAACGTAATTTTCTATCCTTAAAATATTATGTATTATATAATAATAATTTAATAAATACCAGAACACATAAACATATAATTATTATATCATAATTTTAATTATTATTATAACATAATATATTATGAATATATATAATAATAATTAAAATATTTAATTATCTTAATATCATTATTTAATAGATAAAACATTTTTTAGTTTTTTCAACAGACTAACTAATTTTAAACATCCAAAAATATATCAAAAAGAAGTTGATGTATAATAATAAATCAGATATCACATATATGATTTCTTAAAAGATTAATCATGAAACATGTGTACCCCGTTTGAAAGGAAAAGAATATTTTATTTGGAAATATTAATTTTACCTTCATATTTTTACCTTCGAAATACTGCATCACGTTCTTTGTTTGAGCCAGCAAAATATATAAGTGATATGAACCTGCGATTACTTTGTTATTTCTTAATAATATAAAGTTACTTTATATCGTCAAATTGTAGATAGCAATTTGAATGTAATGAGGAAATATTTTTGTATAACTAACTAAAAAGATTGTATGTGTAATATAATGATACATTACATATATATATAATACATATGAAAAGAAATTAAATATTTCATATGTCACTATTGAATATTTTGCTCACTTCAAAATATTTCGAAGTTCTTTTTATCAAATACGCAGTACGTATGTCAATTATTTTTATTTTATATTATATATATATGTTTATTATATTTATATTTCCTCTACAGCGCAAAGTTGCACAAAAGTTACATGTTGCAGCAATATTGCAGAGATTTTGCAGCGATGTTGCTGAAAATTCTATGCTGTATGGAGGGTTATGTTTATGTTATATTATATTTATTTATATATATTGATTACATTTATTTATGTTATGTATGTTTTATTTTATGTATGTGTGTAACAAATATAATTATTGTACACATAATATATACTTACGTTATAAATGCGCCTAATTTTTATAAAGTAAATTTTTATAAAAAATATAATACATATTCAAAGAAAAATTGGTTTATTTAACCAGCTCATGCTGAAGGTTTTGTGAATCTTTATAAACATTAGATGCATTTGTAGCGTAATGTATCAATAATTATATAATTGCGTTAAGAATCGTATCGTCCATTAATTAAGAATTAAACATTAGGTCTGTTCGTGTTGCTTGAATTTTTGCATTCAGCATCTTCGTATTCTCTCCCTTCAATCTTTGTATTCTCTCGCCCGAATATATATATATATATATATCTCACTTTAAGTACAAAAATTTTGTATTCAAAAAATTTCAAGCAACGCAAACAAAATTAAACTTTTACCGACAGTAGAGGAGAAAAGAATAATTGTAATAATGTCGGCCCCTAAATACAGAGGTGCTAATGTCTTAATTCTAAACATGGCGCAAACCATATGATTCGTCAATCGGTGCTCGTCAGGCTCGTCTATCGACGTGATCGGACGTGTTATTGCGTTATCATTTTTTGGAAAGTGTGACCGGCTTCAAACGTGCAATTAAGTTTATGTTATTCTTTTAGACTACTTTCGTACTCTTCATATTGTTTTTTGTTACCGTATAAGCGGCATTTTCGATTCTGGAGTATCGATTCTGTGTTAGAGTCGGGGCCATTCTCATCTTCTCACGCGAAGAAGACATATGATACGCTACAAGAAGAAAGATTGTGTATAGTGTGTATCTAGTCAATAGTTATATATGTCTAGATTTAAATTTTTTAATTTTAAATTAATCGTAATAAAAAATCAGCTGATATGATATTGAGCGACTTGTCTTCTAAATGCAGTCAATATTATTGTAAACAACTCATTTAAGTATATTTGTCGTGTTACTGTAAAATTTAAAAGTTTTTACATCCAATATTAGCTACATAGGCTGTCCCAGATATATATTCGTGATTATAATTCGGTATTTTAATCAAAATTATATCAAATAGAAATTCGCCTCCGACGAATTTCCAAGGATCGACAGGTCCTATTTCCATAATCTACTCTGCCTATCTTTAATGTTGTCACAACAAATCAACCGGCTTTTCGATCAATTTATAGTCTAACGATTAAAAAGAGAAGAAGACGATTTAGTAAATAATTTTATGTGTGTCTCAATCTACAATAGATATCGAATTGAAAAGGAGGAGATCACTTTATTTATGTCTAAAGAGTCCAGTCGATATTTCCGAGTAAAAATTAAAGGTTATGGAAGGCAGTAAGTATATTGAACAAAAAGGATATGCATATTTATCTTTTCAGCATAATTTGTTATTCGCCTCGTGGAATATAATGTAATTATGTATTGTCTTTATAATAAAGAAGGATATTAAATGTTTAATATTATATTTGTTTACAATATTAGACTTCAAGTCAGCAAACATTTGGCAATATTATTGTTACAGATGAAAATTTAGAAGAGCAAATGCAAATAGAGGAGCAAGTGCAAGCAGGAGAATCAGTGCAAGTAGAAGAGCAAATGCAAATAGAAGATCAAGTACAGGCAGAAGAACAAGTACGAGTAGAGGAACAAATGCAAGTAGAAAGGCAAGATGTAGAAGATCAACACGAAAATGAAAATGTTATTCCCAATGATGTACAAAATAATGAAGAAAGTAATACCAAAAGTAGAACTAAAAGTTCACAACGAAGTATGTATTAGAATTGTACTGTAATATAATTGTTGCAGTGTAAACTTTTATAAACTTTTTGGATATGTATATAACTGTGTCTGACTAAAGAAAATTAATTCTCTTATAGTAAATGTAACGAGTGTAAACTTGGATGTCTCAGATGTAGACTCTGATCAGTCATGTCCAATATGCATGGAGCAATGGACCAACTCAGGAGAACATCGTTTGTGCTGTTTACGCTGTGGACATCTCTTCGGGCATAGTTGCATTCTAAAGTGGTTACAGGATTCTTGCGACAGTACGAATCGCCGTTGCCCACAATGCAATAAGAAAGCCTCGGTGAAACATATTAGAGTGCTATATGCGAAAAAGCTGACAGCAGTTGACTCTACCGAGTATGACAATCTGAAAAAGGATTTAATTAAGGCGTCAAAGGAAAACTATAATTTGCAGCAGGATTTAATCTGTGCTGACATTCGTCTAAAAGTATACGAGGAGCACATAAATAATCTGAAAAAATGTATTTCCAAATTGGAAAATAAAAAATCAAAAATCAATGTTGATACTTGCCCAAGTACATCAAGTCTTACTTCAAGGAAGTTTCATTTAGAACAATCTGTAGAAATCTGTAAGGATGGTGGCTGTCGCGTCTTTGATTATAATCCATGGTATAAATTACTGGCTGTTTCTCAAAAGTCAACCTCAATATTCAATGGCTATGGCATAAGGAAAATGGATTGTGAATGCTTCCATTTACGGCAATTTATTTTCTTACACACTCAAGCTATAAGAGATTTGACTTTTCATTCCACGCAACAAACAATTCTTCTTAGTGTTGGTTTTGATAAATGTGCTAAGCTAGTGGACATCCAAAATAATGTGACGGTGCACACATACCAAACAGAATATCCACTTTGGAGTTGTTGTTGGTCAGGTGACAATCCAAACGTTTTTCTGGCTGGTGCGCAAAATGGAGTTATCTTTCAATTTGACATTAGACAAACTTCCTCTGCTCTTAGCGTCTTAGAGGGTAACGGGGATAAATCACCAGTTGTATCAATGGCAAGAGTGCCGCCAAATCCTAGCAGTGGTATCAGTAGAGGTGGATTTATAGCATGTCGTTTAAATACGTGTTATACATATGAAATTAAGGATACCAACTATCTATCTAAACAGATGTTTATAGGGGGGCCTTTTGTTTCAGTACGCTATGATGAAAAAAATCGCCATTATCTTATATCATCTCGTCCTAATGCTAGGCAGCCACACGCAAGACATATGATATGTACTATTGAAAGAAATACATCTAACGAAGAGATAGTTACATATAATGCCGTACATACATTCCAAGCTGGTAATTCTCAACAACTTTTATCTCGACCATGTTATTTATCTGTAGAAGATGATACATTAGTCGCAGCATACGTAGAGTCCAGTAGCAGTGTATCATTATGGAGTATAACGAGCGGTCAAAAGTTGCATAATCTTCCAGTGTCAGATCCTGTTATGGATCTATGCTCATTTAATATTAATAATAACTCATTTTTAACAAGTCTTTCTGCAAAGAAACTTAGGTTATATAATTATGGATAATTAACACAAACATAAAG